GGCAGATCACGAGGTCAGGATATCGAGACCATCCTGGCTAACACAGTGAAACCCCATCTCTACTGAAAAAATACAAAATACTAGCCGGGCGAGGTGGCGGGCACCTGTAGTCCCAGCTACTCGGGAGGCTGAGGCAGGAGAATGGGGTGAACCCGGGAGATGGAGCTTGCAGTAAGCTGAGATCTGGCCACTGCACTCCAGCCTGGGTGACAGAGTGAGACTCCATCTCAAAAAAAAAAAAAGATTGAGCTGATAGAAGTAGCTGAAGCGGGTGCTGAGAAGTAGCTGAAGGAGCTATGCGGTTGAGAGAAAGGTATCAGACTTTCCTACTTTTCAGCCTGAGCCACTGGATTAATGGAGAGCCATTTATGGAATGAAATGTGTTAGGAAGATACATTCACTAATAAAACTTGTTTTATTTTTGATGGGCCAGTTGCTTCCTAGTGGAATCACGTTTTGTTAACCTTCCTTTGACTAATAATATTTCCTTTTAACTGTTATTTTTTTTTTGGCCACTTTCTAGTAAAATTACATTTTTAAATATTTAATACAATTTTGTTTTAAAACAAAATCCATATTCTCTTGTGTGTAAATTTTAATGTTAAGAATTTTCTATCTAAATGTTTTTCAATTTTACACTGCCATTCTACCTTTGATTCTTAAAATTTTTATTTTAAGGTACTAGAGAAGGACAGACTCGTCTAATCAGAGATGGGGAGAAAGTCGAAGCCTATCAGTGGAGTGTTAGTGAAGGGAGGTGGATAAAAATTGGTGATGTTGTTGGCTCATCTGGTGCTAATCAGCAAACATCTGGAAAAGTTTTATATGAAGGGAAAGTATGTCGACTTCTACTTTCTAATTACTGTTATCTTAAATCATTAGGCAAATTAAAGGTTTCCTTTGCCCCATAGTGATAAAATTTTCTTTGTTTTGACATTTAAAAATACATTACTGTGTGGGATAATAATCTTTTTTTTTTTTCCTTGTCTTGAAATAGATATTTTAAAAGTATCTTTCCATGTAGTGAGAGCTGCATTTGATAGACAAATTAGCAATTGTCTGTCACTTAGTAATTTCTATACAAAAGCTGTTCCCAGCCATTTTGTATTGGGAGCTTCTGTGCCACCTTTCATCTAATACCTCATGCCTGGCTATATTTAACTTGACAAGACATGAGGGACCCTGCAGGGCAGTGCTTAAAATGCCGGCATGTTTTGGTGAGTAGGGCACAGTAACAGCTGATAATTTTGACATTGGTATCAACTAGTTGGAAACTCTCCTTTGGCTCTAGAATTAATATGTAGTTGTAATCCATCTTTCATCCTCACCCCCATCCCCTAATGAAATACTAATTTTGCATCACATGCAGATGGGGGCTATTAATCTTTATCTGCCAAAAAGGAAGATTTTAGCACTGTACCTTGGAGAAAATTTAAGTACTATAATTATTAAAATAAAGAACACATCTGTGTTATCTTGTATGTCATTAATATATGTGAACAGATAAATTAATAAACATGTGTCTCCTTTTTATATTCCTACTTTAGGAATTTGATTATGTTTTCTCAATTGATGTCAATGAAGGTGGACCATCATATAAATTGCCATATAATACCAGTGATGATCCCTGGTTAACTGCATACAACTTCTTACAGAAGAATGATTTGAATCCTATGTTTCTGGATCAAGTGGCTAAATTTATTATTGATAACACAAAAGGTCAAATGTTGGGACTTGGGAATCCCAGCTTTTCAGATCCATTTACAGGTAAGTTAGTGTTTATATTGAGTCTTACATATTTCCATTAGTGTTGATTGATACTTTTGATGTTTTCAAACACTCATGTGATTAGCTTTTTCAATAAATACCAACATCTACAACAAAGTTTTACTCCACATTCGTATGTTTAAGCCTCAAATTACGTAGTAATTCTGTATTTTACAGAAATAATAGTAAATTGTTGTCTTTCAAAAATGCAATCATACTATAATGGAATTTCAGTTATTTGAAACAAAAACAAACTTGTAAGTTCTTTTATATAGTGTTTCTTTTTAAAAATTATATTTTGGCAAAATTTAGTAAATAATTCTTTTTTCACGTGAGGCTAAATTGGTCAGTCATGCATCAAATCTAAAGGTGAGCCCTGTGGGTAGTTTTAGTTTGTATGTGATATATATTCTACAAGTTCATTTTAAGTTAGTTGTTTGTAACATCGTATGCAATATCTCAGATGTTATAAATGCAGTTAGGTGCTCATAACAGTCTGTAAATTGTAATGCTGGTGGTACTAGTCCAAATTCTGGCTCCTAAGAAGTGGAATCTAATCCTAGTAATATTAATGTGAGTTCTGGAGGCTGGTTAAGAGGAAATAAAATGCCTCCTCCAAATAACATTTTGAGATAGGCACTTGACTGTTAATGTTTTCCTCTCGTCATTTCTGACTCACATTTTTCATGTGCTAGTGCTCTTCCTTGTTTAAAAGGACCTCATATTGTATTCCTGTCTCAAATCCTTATGTAGATCCACCTTTTCTTCCCTGAAAGCTACTCCACATTCCCAAATTATCTCTTCTCTTTCTACTTCAAAATTTCATTGCCCATTCATATAATAAAACTAATGTTTCCTGCAACTTAATTTAAATAGAATTATCAGGTCAGGTGTGATGGCTCATGCCAGCACTTCGGGAGGCCGAGGCAGGCAGATCACAAGGTCAGGAGTGCAAGACCAGTCTGGCCAACATAGTGAAACCCCATCTCTACTAAAAAAGAAATACAAAAAATTAGCCAGATGTGGTGGATATGTGCCTGTAATCCTAGCTCCTTAGGAGACTGAGGCAGGAGAATCACGTGAACCCGGGAGGCAGAGGTGGCAGTGAGCTGAGATTGCGCCATTGCACTCCAGCCTGGGCGACAGTGCAAGATTCCGTCTGAAAAAAATTAAAAATTAAAAAAAAAAATTATCAAAGTAACTCACTACTGAATTACAGATGATCTGATCCTCCAAATACTTGCACTTAAAAAGAAAATAAGTGCTTAGTATCTGGATATTTTTGTTGTTGGAATTTTAGACTATAGTTCAAAAGAGTGAACACAGATTGTAGTACTGTGTAAGCTATTTTGCATGTGGGATACAGGAAAGGAATTAAAGCAGCTGACTTTGTCTGGAAACCTAGGAAGCACTTGGCTTGTTTTGCCCTTCTAAGACTCTTAACTTTATAAGCATCCTTACTTTTTTTTTGTTTTTGTGGATAACCTGATTATTTCCCTAGAGGTACTAACAAAACATAGGCACATATGCCACACATTCGTAAATGTATAAATGGAAATCTCTTTCCTTTGTAGTTTTCATCCCCTTTCTAATTCTCTTCTCCAGTGGGTTGTAAGCTTCAGTGGATATTAGCAATTTTGTTCCCTACTGGATCCCCAGCACTGAGTCCATTGTTTGACACATGAATTAATGAACCTGGAGCTCTAAAAGATTAACATTTAGTGCCTGTGGTTTTGATAACAACAACAGCAGGAATTCTTGTGAGTTTGTATAGGAACAGAGACAGGAATTGATTGTATGTATATATATTTAGGTCAGATATCACCTGCAATTCTCTTTTGATATTTGAATTAAGCTTTAATATTTAAGTGCTGGGGCTAAGATATAATAAAACATTAAAGTTAAGAAAACAAAACTTGGATATTCATTAAAATTTCAGTTTTTTCCCAGCTATAAGACTTCTAACTATAGTTTCTGTCATTCTATCATGTGAAAGTTTTGCTCTTCTGTTTTTCTCCAAATGTAGGTTCTTCTAAAACAAGCATTGTGCTGTTTGAAAAATTCAGAACTTTGGTGCACTTCTGCCTTTTCTTTGTTTTGCATGCACAGGTGGTGGTCGGTATGTTCCGGGCTCTTCAGGATCTTCTAACACACTACCCACAGCAGATCCTTTTACAGGTGGGATGCAGTTTTGATTCATGTATCTTTCTTCACTAAATGTATAGCATCTTGCATTACATGGCTTTACATCTTGGAGATGTCATCCCATAACTGATAATTCCCTTACCTGTATTTTCAATTTTGATGGATCTCCTTTTCTTTAACTTCTGATTTTTGCTTTTTCCTGGAGTAGTTGTGTAGATTTCCTCGTGAATTTTAAATAGCATATTATTAGAACTCATTGTTTTCTCCAGGGGTCCTTCCCACCAGGAGAGCAGTGTAGTTAAGAACATAGGTTTTAGAGTCAGACAAACCTTGGTTCAAAATTGGGCTCTACCACTTACTTGCTGTGAGAAGTTGGCAAGTTACCTAACCTGTCTGAGCCTATTTTTTTTATCTGTGAAATTAGATAATAGGGGAACCCACCAACCAAGACACAGCATGAGTGCTATCACTGGCGAGATGCTACCAATCACGAGCAGAGAAGGAGCCATGTGAGTCCCTGATATTGGATGGAGCAGTACAATCAAGAAGTCTCCCCAGGCATATTTTGACTTAACATGGAAGGAGACATTCCACCCAGCTACCCAGGAATAGTCTTCCTAATCTAAGTTATTAATGTCCTTCTTGAAGCCCTTGAAGTGTTGGTGTATCTCTTCAAAATGAATTTATTTACCAAGGTATGCATGCCTCAGCGTCAACACTACTGGAAAAAGTTGCCAGAGTTGGACTTTAAGGCAGCTGAAGAAGTCTCTATTTTCAGAATGGCTTTTGATATCTTATATGATGCTGTTGTTGGATCTTCAGACAGAGTTCCTCGACAGTATACTCAGTTTGGGAAGAGATCATAGCCTTTAGGTATCCACTGGCCTTGCAGATTAGTACTGTGAGCTATAAAAATCACAATCTACAGTCCTAAGCCAGAGATTGGACAAACATACAATGTTAAGTCAGTGTCATGAAGTTGTGGATTGCTGTCAGTGAGCTTCCTTTTTCCTGTGAATGTTTTTGTGGCCCAGATGCAAATGGTTGTACCATGTGCATTGATAGCCAGTAAATGAAAATAATTAACTATCGCACTAAATGCTGTGATGGTACAGTGGCTGTTAAGGAAGTCTTTGATAACATGTGATTTCAAATGGTAGTAAGGATCTGAAGAGTAGATAAGATGGCTTTCTCTTTATCAGCAGTTCAGAAACAGTGATGCCCTGAAACTTAATACCAAGTGAGAATCCAAATCACTTTGGCGGCCTTTTTTTCTGGAACAGAAAGAACATACCAAGCTTCAACTAATACCAGCAAAATCAAGAAAATTCCGGGGGCCATTATAACCAGAGTATATCTCACTGTTCCATAATGTCAGTAACTCAGAAGATGCAGTGATTATGCAGATATGCAAGATAGCATACACAATGTCCAAGAGAATTAGGGTATCATTAGGATAATTAAATACCTTTCATATAAATATATAACAGCCTCTACCATATTGAGGTATGAAAATAAAATGGCATAATATGTGTAAGTGTTAAGCAGAATGCCTGGCGTATATTTAAGCCATCGGTGTATGTTAGTCATTGTTGATGATAATGTTTTCCCAACTTTGTCAGTGGCACTGGGGCCAAAAGATTTCCCTGTCTGGCTACAACTTAAAGTCAATCTTAATTCTTCTTTCTTCCCCATATTAATTTATGCTGTCCTTAAACTGCTAATGTTTATTAGAATGATCTGGGAAGCTTGTTTAAATTACTTATCCCAGGGTTCTACGGCCAAGAGATTCTGATTCAGTAGATTAGTGAGGAGGTTAAAACTAAAACTATTCATGATCTGATCTCTCACCAAAGGATTCTAATTAAATAAATGATCTTGGTGGTAGTTTGATCTTAGGTTTTTTTTTTTTTTTTTCAAGTCAAGAGTTTTGCTCTTGTTGCCCGGGCTGGAGTGCAATGGTGCGATCTCAGCTCACCACAACCTCTGCCTCACATCTTTAAGCAATTCTCCTGCCTCAGACTCCCGAATAGCCAGAATTACAGGCATGCGCCACCATGTCTGGCTAATTTTGTACTTTTAGTAGAGACGGGGTTTCTCCATATTGGGCAGGCTGGTCTCGAACTCCTGACCTCAGGTGATCCGCCCACCTCAACCTCCCAAAGTGCTGGGTTTACAGGCGTGAGCCACCATGCCCAGCGATCTTAAAGTTCCCCAAGTGTTTCTAAAGTGGAGCCAGTTTGGAATACCCCTGGGTTATGGGTGGACTCTGGGAATCTGTGTATTGAAACTGTGATTCATTCAGGTGGTCAGAAAACCATATTTAGAAAAGTGTGAGACTCTACTTTACCTCTTAAGAGCTTAATGCCTTGGGCAAGTTATTCAGCCTTCTGCTTCTAAAATATTGTGAATTATAATGGTATCTATAGAATAGTATAATGAATATATGCATAGAAGATGATTAGCTGGCATATGGTTAAATTTCAACAAACCCATTTATTCTGTGTTTCTCATTATTTTAATTAATCTTACTGTCTTTCTGGTTTTGCTTTTTAAATTTTGTTTGGCTTTTCTGTATATGTTGCACCAATTATAACAACTCCTGGAGTGTAAATTGAGAGAGGCTAGAACAGTAGCCCATTTTTCTTCTTCCCATAAAGGCTGATCCAGTATTCTGAGTATCTCCAAATCCTGCTGATTCTCTCTCTATACTTACTTTTTATGTTTCCTTCTTTTTATTTTCAATAGGACAGCCACAAGTATTATCTATAATAAAATGTGACTGGGCTGTTGTCATAGTATCTCTAACCTCCTGAGTCTTTTCCAATTGTCTTATGTGCTAGTTAGTCCCACCCCTTTACTTCAATAGAATAGCATTCACATTTCTTTCTGGAAACTTTTATTTCTCTCCAATCCACTTACATTTTTGTAATTTACTAAACTTCTACAATTATAATATATAAGGCATGTAATGTTTAATTTGTAGCTAACATTTGTTGGGCACTTATGACATGCCCAGGCACTGTTCTCAGCATTTTTCTGTATTAAATTTATGGCATATTTAATATGTATGGTATGACACCATTGTGAATTCTGCTTAATAATGGAAATAAGCAAAGAAGAGTTTGAACTTTATAATTTGCAGTCACCTTTGCTTACTAGGAGTATTATTGTATTGTAGGTGCTGGTCGTTATGTACCAGGTTCTACAAGTATGGGAACTACCATGGCCGGAGTTGATCCATTTACAGGTACATACTTTTTGTTTCTTTTTCCTTTTTTTAGATTTTAAAAATTCACTGGAACTTTTATTTAATGAAAAGAGTAAGAAATTTTGTGTCATTTTCTTGGTTGAGAACTTTTTGTGTAGTAAATCAAGACCGAACTTGTCTGGCTTTTCGAGTTTTCTCAGAATTGTCTCATTACTACGTATTAGAATCATCTGGGGAGCTTTCCAAACGTACTTCAGCCTTATCCCCAGAGATGCTTACTTGGTCTAATTCTGCTGTGAGTTAGGGACTTGGCAAAGGGTAGTTTTATAATCTTCCAGTGTGATTCTAATATGCATCTAGGAACGGAAACTACTGTTTTACTGTAGTAAGTCTGCTTTCCTCGCTACTATTACAAAGTCTATGTTTATTCTCATCTCTTCATTCTTACTTAATGTGTTGAGAATGTTATTCACTGGATTATACATTGGTCTCTTTAAGAAGACTCAGGAAAGAATTTGCGTCTGTGATTTAGGCCTGGAATAGCTATCATTCTTCTGAGCAACTAATTGTTTTTTAATCCTTAGTTATCTAGTCTACAGTCTGACATACCTAACTTGTTCATTGAATATGTGCTGGTATGTTTTCCTCTGTATTGGCTGCCAGTAAAACACAGAGCTAAATTTGTGGTTCATCTCTTTCAAGTTTGACAGATACCTTGGCATTTTTTTTTTCTACTTAATTTTTATATTCTTCGTAATTTATATGAGAGAAATTGAGTAACATATGTGTTATTCAGCATTAAAATAAACACCCATAAACCTACTACTCAATAACTAACCTAGCCCATGTTTTTATTTTTTATTACTTTTGAGATGGGATCTTGTTTTGTTGCCTGGCCTGGGCTCAAACTCCTGGGCTCACATGATCCTCACACCTGAGCCTCCTGAGTAGTTGGGTTTACATGCGCATGCTACCATGTCCATCACTTGGCATGTGATTTTGTAAGCTATTTTTTAATTGCATAAGTAACATTGGTTAGCAATACTGACGTATAACATAGTAACTCTAATTAAGATTATGGATTCTGGAGTGAGAATCTAAATTCAAATCTCAGCTCTACTACTTTTTATCTGCTTGACCTTGAACAATTTATTTGATGTGTCTGTGCTTTTGTTTTTCTCATTTGCAAAGTTGAGGTAATATCTACTTTCTAGAATTAAGAGCTTAAAATTACAAAATTTATGTAAATAACTTTTTACCAAATTAATGCTTAGTAATTGTTAGCTGTACTTGTTAACAAAAGTTAACAGTGCTCCCTCCCATTTTCCAGAAGTTAGTTTTTAACAGTATGGTGTGTATATTGGAACTTTATATACCTTAGTACAATCTAATGTCACCTCTTGCCTAGAATAATGAAATAACTTCCAAATTGGTCTCTCCATGATCCATACTGCAGACAGTGATCATTTTATTGTTTACTCTTATGTTTCTGCACCTCCCTTGATTAAAAAACTCTTCAGTGGCTTCCCAGTGAATATTTTTCTTTTGCCTTGCCTCACATTCCTCTCTGCCTTTCCTCTGTCCAGCCATACTGACCGGTGTCAGTTTCTTGAGCATATAATACTGTTTTCTACCTCCAGAGCTTTGAACTCACTGTTTTCTTTTGACATACTTATGTATTGCCCTTTGCCTTGTCATTTAGACCACAAATTATTGGCTGTTTTTCT